ATAATTCACTCATATTATCGCTTGCATGATAAGAAAAAAAAATCAATATTCTCATTTGATGCAAATTACTTTTTTTTTCATTATGTAAAATAATAGTATCGTATCATCGATCTAATGTAAAAAAAAGAAAAAAAGATATCACTGTCATACTTAAATGTACTAGTTGACGAATGAAGAAACAAAAAGAAAAACGGTATGACAATGATTACAGTCTATTTACTGCAGCTATGAATAATGTAGATAATTGTCAAATATCTTAATATGTTTTGTATAAATAAACTACAGTCGAAGAGAAAAAGTTAGAAAATATACAAAAACATTAAACAAGTCTATGGATGAATCTCTTCTTTGCAAATAGATTAGTTTCAATAAATTTTCGAGCTAATAATTCAATAAAAATTTTCATAGTAAAGTATCTATACTACAGATCTAGACGTTTGTTTTCTCACTATTCTTCTGTCGAGCAATATCTTAAATAATGATGAAGATATCATTTCTTACATTTTAGATGATGATTTCGGTTTATCATTATTTCCATCGTTCTTTTCTATAACTCTATGACAAATATTATGATTATTAATAGAGAAAAACGTTCTTCTTTTTTCTTTCTCTTTCATCGAAAGCTTTGCACTATTTCCTATTCTTTTAACTGATTTTTTTTTTGTCTCTTTATTTTCTTTTCATTTCTATCAAGTGTTTTTATACTTACTTCTTTGTATACTTTGATGTGTATATTTAAATTTCGTTATTCGATCTATATAACCTTTTTTAACTATAGGATTTACTTTTGTCTTGATTTTTTTTTTCTATTAAACATCAAAACCAATAACGATATAGAAAAGAGATCTTAGGGCATCGATAAAACTTAATTATTAGGAAGAGAATCAGTCTTCAAGCGAAGCCTGATAATAGCTGACAGGGATTGTTAATGATGCTTGTTTTTTTTTTTTAATCTTTGTGGCTGTTCTTCTATTCTACCTAGCAAACTCTAAATGATGACAAATACATGTCTATGAAAGCGCTCGTGAAGCAATGAGATCAGGAAAGATGAGCGCGCATCCATGGAAACGCTTTTTAAGCCAGCAAATCATAAAGTATGATAAAATGAATAGCACATCAAATTCTGCTCGTCTCATCAGTCTAAAACAGCAAGCAATCTTTTTTTTTTTTTGAAAGCAAATTTTCTTCTTTCTTAATGTTGTTTAGTGATAGTAATTTTAAAAAGAATTAATCTTATTACGGAAATTATTTTTCAATTGAAAAGCAAAACAAAAGAATCAATTATTTTTTTTTGTTTCTCTTAAGAAATAGGTTTCTTTTCATTAAATTCTAATAGAAAAATAGAACTATCAATTAATTAATGAAAACACATACTTTTCAATAGATACTCTTTGAACCCCATAACAAACTACTACCTTGTGTTGTACTAATGATAAGTTTTCATTGGAAATTTTACAAATGATATAACTATTCCTTGTCGTACTAATGTTGACCATTAACATTATTTTTCGACATCAAGAAGATTATCTTGACTTTATGAAGTTAATAGACATTATATGTAAATATTATTCCTGAAAAAAAATCCGATCTGTCAACAAGAGAATATGTGACAAAATGAAGGAGTAGTGTTACAACTATTCTCGATAATGATGTTTAATTGACTGTTCCAAATTTTCCAAGCGCATATATCTCTCACGATATACAAGTTATGTACGAGAAATAAAAAGAGAGATGAACACATCAATACTCAATAGAAAATATTGAAAGAAAAAAGAAAAAGGAAATGAATATGCTAACAAGAGTTTGATATCATTATCGATATATTATTACTGTGTGTTGAGACACACTTTCGGGCACTTGTACAATTAGAGAGGAAACGGAAAAACCAATGAAAAAATATATAACGTCATGTTAAGTTCATCATCTGAACTTAATGTATCAATGAAAATATGAGCCAACCAATATTAAATATACAAAATTTCTTTAACCACTTATATATCATTCAGAATGGTTATTCTACGATATTAAAAATAGTAATACATTACATATGAAATATAAATAATGATTTATCTTCACACTTCAAACATTTCATATAAAAAAGAATGTATTAAAGCAAATGAGATGCACAGAAAACATTCATTTTCTTAACTATTAATTAATCTCGATAGACATTTCCTCACACTAAAGAAACAAGACATGACATTTTGTATTCATACTGTCAATAATAAAAATCCAATTAATCACACATTACAAATTCAACTAACAATAAAGAAATCATTTAATCAATTCTTACATAGTCTGGTGCAGATCAAACACAATAAAACAAGATAAATTACGACATAATACATAAGAAAAAGAATATGAAATAGAGATGCGACATAAAACGATTCATTTTCACATATATCAATTAGATTATACAGTGGCTACCAAAATTATCCGACAAGCAAGCAGAAATTTTTTGTCTTGTTTATATTTCAATAGCTATATGAGCTAGAATAGTCTGGTTTTCGTCATATCACAGTCTATAGTCTCTAGTATTCCCATGAAAAATCCCAGGTCAATCTACGTATCTATTGAAGTTTTGTTGATAATACACTCGAAGTATACCATTTTTCATCCTTCCAAAATTATCCGACAAGTTATTTTTGTAACCACCTATGCGCTCATTTTAATATAAGGGTGGGTGTGGATATGAACGTGGGAGAAGACACCTACACCCTATCACTGAAAGCACAGATCCAACAATAGAAAGCTATATTAAACGGATGAAACAAAGTGGAAGTTATGCTGATCATTTCGCAATTTTAGCTACAGCATCTTTCATCAATAAAGATATAGTTATCCATGAAAAAGACAAAAAGCCTTTGTTAATTCCAAGTTCTGATTCTCTTACCTATCAATTACATTTCTGGTATGATCCAAATACTGAACATTACGATAGTGTGATTTCTTTTGATGATAACTTACCGTTTCTACCTGCTGAAGAAGTTCTAATGACTTGATTTTTTTTCTTTCTTTTAATTTTTGTAAATATTGTTTCTATTATTAAACTTTTACATATTTACATAATGTAACGTATCTTATCTTTCTGATTCTTACATCGTTTGAGCTACCTATGTGTTTACAGACAACATTTTATTTTTTTCATCACGTAAGTTACTCGTCACTGGTAATAAATGCAGTTTTTTATTATTTATATAAGTAAGTTAAATAGAAAAGAGTTTTCTCAAACGAATAAATTTTATTCAAGGTATTGTTTTATGCTATTTCTCTTGTATTGAATGTGTGAAAATTTCTTCATGTGCAAAATGGAATAGAACAGGAGTTACTATCGCTGGAACTGGAGTTGCGGGAAGTTCTGCTGAACAACTTCATGATCCTACAGGTATTTTTATTCATAAAAAAACGAATATATTATATGTGGCTGATTATGGAAATAAGCGCATTCAAACGTTTGATCTTAATAAGTTATCGACTACTGGAAATACTGTTGCATCTTTAACATCAAATCCTCACAAGGTCTTTGTTGATGATGATTCTAATGGTCCAACTATTTATATTTCTCTTCCTCTGAGTGATCATATTGAAAAATGGGTCTATGGAGCAACAAGTGGTGTTCCTATTGGTGATGCTTGTTTTTCATGTTTAGGTATTTGGGTTGACAAAGAGAAAAATCTTTATACAGCAGAATCATCAAGATTTCGTGTTCGTAAATGGTCACCTCAAACAAATAATAGTACAGTTGTTGCTGGACGAACAGATTTAAATGGATCAACACCTGATCGATTTGGTTTACCTGATGGTATTTCTGTTGATGAAACTATTGGTGATATATATGTGACTGATTACATTAACAATCGAGTACAAAAATGGGCGAAAGATTCAGAGACAGGAATGACTGTAGCAGGATCAGATTTCACATCGTTTTCTGGACCATCTTGTGTAATGGTTGATGAAGAAACAAAAACAATGTATATAGTTGATCGACACAATGAGCGTGTTCAACGATGGTTAGCCGGGGCATCTTCAGGTGATACTGTTGTAGGAGTGGCAGGTATGTTTTTTTATCTTTTTTTCAAATAATTTTTTCAACAAATAAAAACCTAGGTAGAGGTAATTCATCTGATCAGTTGAATGAACCAAGACATGCTGATTTTGATAGCAAAGGAAATCTTTATGTGAGTGATGCTTGGAATCATCGCGTTCAAATGTATACTTTAATTGACAATGAACCTTGTCGAACATCTGCAGGTAATTTTTACTGATTTTTTTTTCTTTTGATAATATGTGTATTTTTTTATGTAATCAGCGCTTTCGATAATGTTCAAGTAAGTAAAATAATATTACTCATTCATCTAAGAAATCGATAATTTAGATCGACAATGATCCAAATTCTATTTTCAATGGTAACCCTAATTATGGCCAAAGTATTTTAATGAGACTGATAAAACAGTGACAATATAATTTGCTTTGATTCTTTCTCTTATTTAATTAATCTATCCACAAAAATAAACAAATGACTATTCATATAAACTTATCTTTGTTTCTTCAAGGTAAAAAAAAAAGAGTATCCAAATATAGAAGAGAATTTTTACTCTCAAATCAGCATCCACATTGAAAGAACGACAGAAAAACGTGTCACATGTCTCAATACGTTCGTTTTGCGCAAGTAATTATTGAGTAGAAAATTGAATTTCTCTTAAAATCAAGTGTCTCTGCTTCTTTTTTGTTTTGAAACGAGAAAAATCAATGTTTCAACTATTTCTATTTCTGATAGCTGTAAAAAAATCTCTCTCTTCTCATCAGATACAATGCAGAGAATGCACATAATGTCTTCTATTTCTATCGATTTATTGTGAGAAGTGAAAAGAACATGTATATAAATACTGTCATATTTCCATTTTTTCATCAATAAAACGAACACAATCAATTTGAAGGTAAGAATTGAATTATACAGTCTACCAATTCTTTTTTTTAAAAAAAGAAGTCAAATTCATTCAATGGCGGATACGGAGTCCAAAGAAAATGATACCGATGTTATCGTTGAAAAGGAAGATGCCTCTGAAACACTCATAGAGGGCCCGATTGTTCGTCCACCAAATCCAGCAGATCTTCCATTAGGACCATACTTTCAATTTATTACTACTGATCTGGAAAAGATGCAATGGATAGGAAGTGTATTAGTCTGTCGACATATTGGATTCGATGGACCAAAAATTGAATTTACTGCTGACGTGAAAATCGATTATGACCGAGACATTTTATATGAAGATTTATTCGGTATGTGTGCATATCGAATCGATCTTTATATTGAAATACCTCCGGGCGAAGGTGAAGAGAAAATAACCTGGAAAACCGATTGGGGTCATTCATCATCTAATGGTACATTTTATATTTCTCGATATAATCAAAAATGGCGTAGTGGTGTTTTTTTCATCGAATGGATATGATGCAACACTTTCTAAAGATCAAATACGAGATTTAGACTATGATAATGTCTGGAAACATTTAAATTTCTATTCATGAAAATTCTCCGTTACATATTTTAATCTGGGGTAGTGATTAAAATTATAATGATTTTATTATTGATGATATTTCATTTCTACATGATTGGAATAAAATGCCATGGAATGAAAAATGGACATATGATTTCGATGATGCATCAAGAAAAAAAGCTGAACATTGGGAATATCGTCCAGAAATGAAAAGAGCATTAGGTTCAATTCCAAGTATAATGATGTGGGATGATCATGATATATTTGATAGTGCGGGATCCTATCCTCCATTACTTCATCAAAGTCCAATTATGAAAGGATTATTTGAAATGGCACAAAAAATTCGACTACTTTTTCAACATCATACAACACCGGAAAAAGCTCGAGAACATAGATTATTTGGTTATCAAGGACATAATCTACTCGCTCGTTGTGGTCCGAATTTACTTATCTTAGCAGCAGATGGACAGACAGAACGTGATGCGAAGACGGTTCAACATGAAAAAACTTGAGAAATGATCTTTGAAAAACTGGAGAAAGAAGCGGAAAATGTTAAACATTTAATTGTTTTATTTTCTGTACCATTTTCATTTGTTCGTTTTGGAATTGTTGGAACTTTTCTCGAATATATTACAAATCTCACCATGAAATGGAATAAAATTCGAAGAGTGGAAATAGCATTTCAATATTTAAAAGTTATTAAAACAAAATAGTTCAAAATTTCAATTATAGGACAGGTTAATTCAATTTTTGGTTTACCCGGAACGTACGATGATCTTCTCGATGAATGGACATATGTAAACCATATCACCGAACGTAATGATGTTCTTCAACGTTTTCAAAATCTTGCTGAAATAAATAAAATTCGAGTAACATTCTTTAGTAGTGGTGTTCATTGTTGTGGTGTAAGTCGATTTTGAACACGAAGAATAGAGCCATTTGCACCTAATCAAGATCCGAAATTAATGTATCATATTATTTCATCAGCGATCGTTCATAAACCACCACTGAAAACATTCATTCAAGCTGCTCATCTATTTAGAACGAAATAGTATCCAACGGAGAAAACAGAAGAACAAATGATCGACTTTTTTTTTACCACTAAAGAAATTACTTCCGAATCGAAATTGGTGTTGTTTTGAACAGTGTGAAGAGAAGACTTCAATGGTGATTACTACTCTTCCGAAAAAAAGGAGTTTTGGAAATGGTATGGCTTCGTATTCTACTGTTGTTATCGTTTCTTGGTTTCAATCATTTATTTGGAAGGAAGAAGGAAGAAAATAAAGATGATGAAGTTTGCGAAACTGTGCAGGGAGAAGTTTATCATCAAAATGTTGAAATTGATCAAGAACAGCAAGAAGCAAATAATTTAAAAGTACGATTCTGGTTAGAAAGTGTTGGAAAAAAAACAGAAGTACCAAAGTTTTCTAGTTACGATCTACTTATTCCCAATCTGAAATGACAATTTTTTTTCTGTTTTGTATCAAATAAAGCTTCTGTTAATCTAGCCATTTACATATTTCTGCTGTTCTTATATTATATAACAATGAATAAAGTATAGATATTAAGTCTTCTATGGCGGTTATTTGTTTTTCTTTTATCATTATATTAGAAAGAGGACAAAGATAAGAACGAATTTCGTAACCACCAGATACTCTATAAAAGAAACGATCATTTAAGGTTGAAAAGTAAGAAGGGACATGGCGGTCTCACTGATACAACCTGACTCTCCGGCTGGTAATGGTCGTCAAATCGAACTTGTTGATATCGACATGGTACTGGGAGCAGTCGACAATGTCTTTGTTTATCCGACTCTTGACATTAAACAATTACAAAATGCAATTGGTCATACCATTTCTCTTTGGCCAATCGTCGTGGGTCGTCTCTGTATTATCGACAATGAACATTACTCGATTGAACTATCGGATAATCCTATTCCATTCACTTATGTGGAAAATGATGAACTTGAACGATGGCCTATTCTCCCTGTTGCTGTTGGCGATCGAACAATCCTTCAACCATTTGTCGATTCCGTTCCGAGCGAACCTACTCGAGATGATCCACTCGTTCGATTCAAAGTTACTCGTCTAGTTCGGAGCAATGAATATGTACTAGGTGTTTCGTTCTATCATATGCTTGGTGATGCAGATTCTTATATTCACTTTTTAAGTGATCTTTCTCGTTTCTATCAAGGTCTTGAACCGTTATCACCAAAACCTAGTTTCGAACGACATTTATGGATTAAGAAAGATGCTTTTCGTGCTATCGATTCGTCTCTTATGCCTCTCTTGTAACCGCTGCAAGATGCACGTCCGAGAGACATCATTATCGCCAAGGTTGTAGAAGAACACACAACAACCGATCCTGTTCAAATATCCTTCTCTTCAGAACAACTAACAAAATTACATAGTCTAGCTGGACAAGGGATTGAAAACATCACTATTCAAGATGCGCTTACTGCTTATATTATTGTTACACTCAATAAATATGTCCTCGTATCAGACAATGAACATATCCGGCGTACAAATACTACAATCAACTATCGAGGTATCTCCGATACACTGGCTCCGCGTGGTCAAGTTGATAACTCTATCATGTTCATGCTATCCGATGACTTTGATAATCCACTTTCTTTGCAGAGTGTTGCTAAAACAATACGAGCATCCATTAATAAGGCTCGCAATGAAGAGTTTCTCGAACGATGGCTTATCACAATTGATTTAATGATGAGAAAGATACATAAAGAAGGTAAAGCATGGAATTTTGCATCTTATCTGAATGAAATTTGGTTTAATTCAAATTTGAAATATGATTGGGCAAGCAAAGTGGATTTGGGTATGAAAGATCAATGTCGATTTCATACAGTGGGCGTATCGAAATTAAAATGTCGTGTCTTTCCATTAAATTCCATACAAGATGTTGATGGAAACTGGACTCGAGATCATGGAGGAGCTGAAGTATCTTTTCGAATCCCGAAAGAAGATTGTAAGAATAAGTTTATTGCAGCATGGAATAATGATGTAAAAGAAAATTTTATGAATTTTAAAATTTTAGAATAAAAATCATCTTTTCCATAATATAAATTGTTTCATAAGTGTTAAAGATTTGCTGAATATTATCTTTTACGTTATTATCATATTCTAACATTTCAATATATAACATAATTGCGTCGTTTTCTTGATCAGATTTCTCCTTAATCACATGGAAATTTCTTTTTTTCCATTCATAATCAATCGGTAATTGATTGCATTTGATTCGAATAAGAAATTCTTTTGGCTTATATCCATTTTTAAGATAAAATCTTTCCACAAATTCCACTGAAGCTGTTCCAACTGTAATTTTTATTTTATCTACTTTTGTTTCAAAAAATTTTAATAATCTACTTCCAATACCACATCTCCAATATTTATGTAAGACAGTAATACCACACATACTGTTATTAATAAAAACAGCTACAAATAATGGTGAGTATTTATCATATTGATCTTTTAAATAATCCAAACTCCAATTATCTAAATATTCTTGTTGTATGTTCCAGAATTGTTCAAGTTTTTCATATGTAACATTTCGTATTTCGACATGATTAATAATATCATCCGACATCCTTGTTTGTTTCTTTTTTTTTTATCTAACAATCACGAACTGTCAGCTAAAAACTGACTACGCAAAATGCAATAGTTGTTCTTCTTCATATCATTAACGAAAGCTTATCTAATCTAAAACGAATAATAAAATTCTCTCCTTGTATATTATATTTTTCATTTCACTTGCTCATATTACAAAATAAATGTATGTTTCTTGTGAAGATACGCATCGAAACGATTATGTAGTTATGTATATATCCTGGTTAGAAGGAGCTATCAACTTAACAATGTACTTTTGTCTTGTATTTGTACTTTACCTATATTGCAAGTTATATATAAACATGTTCATTTATCGCAGTTTTACGGTATTGTTGTTCTCTTTATACTCCCTAAGTACGATAATCAAGTCAATTGAATCAATATTGAATGTTAGAAGGATGCATTTTTATAATTAGCTATGAAAGACAGATTTTTACATTGAAAATGTAGGTATTTGTATCCGAAGCATCTAAAAGTAATCGCATTTTGAATAATCATCGTAAATTCCTGTATACAGCTATCATACTTTTTGTTTGTCATTTGTGTATTTATCTCTTTATTACAGATCTGAATCTTACATTACTGACGCCTTGACAACATTGATCTGCCTTCTTCTTCTCCTCATCCAAACTCAGTTAACTTTTGCATTTATCAAATTGAAGATCCTGGAGACTCGGGGTGTGGGTGTGGGTGAGGAGAAGACGCACGCCCACACACCCACACCCTCTATAAATTCTTTACATATATCATATAGATATAATAAGATATATCTAGATTTAAGGAGCCCTATCCCCAAAACATAGAAGAATTTTTGGTAATTTCCGTAACTACCTGGAAATTCTAGTAATTACGGAAATTTCTATGATTTCTTTCTTTTTATCATACAGTTATCATGAGATAGATATAGATTTGAAGACCCTTACTCCAAAAAATAGAAGACATTATAGAAATTTCTGTAATTACTAATATTTCCAGGTAATTACCGGAATTACCAAAAATTCTTTTATTTTTTGGGGATAGGGCTCCTTAAATCTATATGTATCTTATTATATCGTACAGATATAATTTGAGAATTATAGAAATTTTCTGGTAATTTCATCCACATGTCCTGGTAGTTTTCGTAATTACTGATAAATGTCCTTTTGTGGATTTGGCATTTACGGAAATTATCTGCTAATTTCGTTCTCTAGTATGAGTAATTACCTAAGTTTCCGGAAAATTTGTTTTCTGTTTTGAAGGTAATTTCCGAAATTTCCAGGAAATTTCTTTATTTGTGTTTATGTTTGTTTTTGAATAGGATTGAAGTAGTTACGGTAGTTTCTCATATTTTCTGAAAATTGCATTTTGTATGGTTACAGTTCCAGAAATATGAATATTTAGCAAAGAAATTTCCTTTTTTGGAAATCTGTCCACTGCTGTGCTAGAGAGCTTCATGGACACAATATATAAGCTCGCAATTATTTACCATTGAATACTGAGGCTTCTAGTATCTAAGTATAGTTGAATATTTAAATTCAAGTTTCAAATATTACATATATGTATTAATGTAGCAAACGGAGAAGATGTGTTTGTTATAATTAAGTACAAATGATTCACACTATCAGTGTCCTACTTCTAATAAAGATTATTTTGTATTTATTTCATAATAAAAACTATTATCTACATCTATTTATTTTATGATATGAAAAAAAGTAGATTCCTAACAAAGTTGAGGTGTTTTACTTTTTCTTCTTGCAATAATACATTTAAGAGTTGTTTTTAGATTTTTTTCATAATATTTGCTTCATAAATGAAACCTTTTTCTGATGTTTTGCTATGAATCACAAACAATATTATTTTTCTCACTCTATCATACTGTTGTAAAATTACTGCTTTGACACGTCATCGTAAGACGTGTTTACTGGACGTGACATATAAGCACTGATTCATCATATAAAATACTTGCACAATGTAATGTAATAAAGAACGGAACAGAACAGAACAGAACAGAGTAACATATAAAAAGCGACTAACATACATTATTCTCTCATTTTTTTTTATCTTATCAACAATAAAAACAAGTAATACATATTCAATAATGGCAGCTGCAGCTCTTCATGTTGAAAAAGTTGATAGACCTGAATTAGCTAAACATGATTCAAGTATTCTTGGTAAGTTTTTATTTTTCTAAAATTTAATTTAATTTTTTATTTTTACAATTATATATAGATCTTGTCTTTATTATGGATTGTACGGGTTCGATGGGATCATATATTCATAGTGCAACAAATAATATTCGTTCAATTGTAGAAGAAATAGTTGTTAGTGAAAAAAGTGATATTCGTTTAGCACTTATCGAATATCGAGATCATCCACCACAAGTAAGTGAAACAAAAAATGTTTTCAGAAATAATTAATTTTTTATTTGATTAGGACACTACTTTTGTTACACGTGTACATGATTTCACAGCCAAAATTAGTGAAATGAAAGGTTGGTTAGAACATTGTCAAGCACAAGGTGGTGGTGATGGACCCGAAGCAGTTGCTGATGGACTTCATGATGCTCTTAAATTAACATGGCGTGCTGAATCTACTAAAATTTGTGTTCTTATTTCTGATGCACCACCACATGGACTTGATCCAAGTGGTGATGGTTTTCCAAATGGTTGTCCAGCTGGTCTTGATCCAATCAAAATTGTTCGAGAAATGGCTGAAAAACATATTACACTCTATGTTGTTGGTGTTGAACCACCTATTGGTAAGTTATCTCTATTTTTTTTTTGGTATAATAAATTTCAAAATATGTTATTACTTTTTCTTTAGTTCCTTATCGTGATTTTTTCATGTCATTAGCTTATATTACTGGTGGACAATATGTTCCAATGGTTACATCAAAACTTTTAGCAAAAGTTATTATTGGTGGTGTACGTGAAGAAATATCAATAGATCGTTTAATGCAAGAAGCTCAAGCAGATATTGATCTTGAAATGCAAAAAGCTGAAGCTGAAGGAGCTAGTGAAAAAGAAAAAGCCGGACGAATCAATCATATTTTTACTTCGAAAAATATGCGTTCAAAACAAATGCATAATGCTTTCGGTACTGCATCAACTTTGGCTCAAGAGCACTATTCAAAATGTGCCGATATGAGCGAAATGAAAAGTGCATGGTCATCAAAACCAGCACCTCCTCCAGCTGCTCATGCTAGTGCTATACCAACAGCAGAAACTAGCTATGAACTAATGGAAGATCAAGATGTCAGTGAAGAACAAGCAGCACGAGTATATCAAAAATGGCAAAATCGTAAAAAATAAACATTTTCTTTTATTCTATGTCAGATAAATGAAATAAAACTTGATTATTAATTAATAAAATTATCGATTAAAATATATCTATTTAATCAGATGTGAAGTCTAGAAGTTAAATACGATGCGGATGTGAAGGACTCTATTTTTTAAATGATATATTAGGTCTTTGAGATTGTTATGAATTATTTTAATAGTATTCTTTCTATTAATCTAGAGATTGTTGCAATGCAGCATATGTAAGTTGTGTTGACTATAGATAACATACTTGATAACAAAAAATATTCTCTTATAAGTAATACAAGTTAGGCAGATATAACGAGCAGCAAACTGATTTTTATCCTAGAAATCAATTTAACACTTTAAGGATATGAATAATGTCCAGAAAAAATATTAAAAGTTGTTGCTGAAGGTGGCCTCACAGAAGGACTGAGAGGGAGGAGGCGCAGCTTTCCTAACCAAAAACTCTGGCGCCGTTACGTAGATGTGGGTTGTGGGTATGACTCTTCTTCTCACCCGCAGTTATAGCCGCATCCACAAGCCACACTTACACTCATGACGACCTAAATTCATCAGTCATCGATTAAACAAAGACCGTTTTATTGAAACATTTCTCGTTTTTTTGGCCTATTGTGTTTCTAAAATGATTCGACATGCGACTTTATTTATTCAAATCTTAAGAAATAGATATGACTTATCGAGGGCTTCGTTTCACTGTTATGGGGTCAGAAAAGTGAAAAATAATTCGTGCCGGTATACCGACCGATTCGTCCAGTCTGGCCGTTTAGACCAGTACTGATATCAACTTTGGTTTTCAAATCATTGAGAGATTTTGTTTCACAAATGATGCACAGCTAAAGGTCGAATAAATACTTCTCATTTGACAGCATTCGCAGCCTCAAAAATCTTCCATGTCAAACTGAAACAAAAATGGGTAGGTGGGTAGATGAGAAGAATGGTTCCGCCCTCATCAACTATTTCCACTTTTTTTTGTGAGGTTTTTCGAAATTTTCGAGATTATGAGATCACATCACGTTTACGCTGTCCCACCATGTTCCTTTCCGGTGACCTCTGGTGGAGAAAGAGCTCGATGAAGCCTAGTTATCAGAAGAAAGATTGATAATATGGAGAGTAAAGCATTTTTCAATGTAGCCTACATGTTTCATATCAATAGCATTGCGACACTAGTTAAAAAAGAAGAATTTCTTACGAATCTTCATAGTTTTAAAAGGCATGATTATTTAAAGAGTATATTGCACAAATAAACGACAAAGATAGCATCTATAAAGCAGCCTTGTTTTTTCATTTCTTGCCGTCAGCATATGAATAATAAACTTGAATTGCCAAAGACTACTCAAATATAAGAAATGATTATTTTTTCGATAAGCAATATTTACATACACTTTTCTTTCTACAGCAAGTTTTTTTTTTCTTTGTTAGTGTTTTGAGAATCAACAAATGATAAGCATCTTTGTTTTTCTTCCGACTTGTCAAAGCACAACATAATGGCTATAGAATTTTTTTTCTTTTTTTTTTACTGTTGTAATGTCATCAACCAACAAGATTTTTATTCGTGTTGTGATAAGTTCGAAATAAAGTGACGACATATGATGAGAAGAGATTGAAAAGGTAAAAGACATTTGTTAGTTACAGACAAGAAAGATAGAAGAGTAAGACATTTGAGTATTTCAGCCGATTTTTTGAGCTTGAATAATATTGTACAACAAAAGAAATGTGTAATTTACTAAATTTGGCACGCACTATGCGCTATACGACAGGCACTAATATGTATGCTTTGACTGGTTCATCGACAAAACCAAGTTTTGCTCCTCCATTATCAACGTACTCCAATTATTTACGAACATCGAAGCCCTTGCGACATGACCTTTATCGCACGTTTTGGTTGGATGCGAATCTCAACATGAATAATCAAGATATTGTATATTCAAAACATAAATTAAAGAGTGCGACTAATGATCTATGCACATTCACTGATATAGAGACATGTACGAACATAATTCGACAAGCCAAGAGCAAGAAGATTTTTCTCATTGTCTCCGGATCTCTTGGCGAGAAAATAGTGCCTGAGATTTATCAACTACCTCAAATATATTCCATTTATGTCTTTTGTGCCAATCCATCAAAGCATAGAGTGTGGGCTGATAAGTATCCCACTATCAAAGGTGTCTTTGACGATATTCAACCTATTTGTGAGTCTCTCACACAATATACATGCAAGTATGAGCCTGATGACATATCGAGAAGCATTCTTGATTCTTCTATACATGATCTTTCGGTGGTATCGTCGTCTCAGTGGCCAAAAGAATCTACCTGCTGTGTAAATAATAATTATGATTCCGAACCATTAAATGAATACCAAGGCGCATATGCACAACCTATTATGGAATTTCATCAAAGTCAACCTATTGATGAGACTCAATTGAAGGTAACATCGGCTCAAAGTCCTTTCCCAGATAGTCAACTTTGTTCATCACCTTCAAGCAACGAGACAATGTGCACTGAGGTGCAGCTTCCAATTTCGCAAAGCCATACCGTTACTCCCACTGTGGCAAACAACGAAGAAGTCGAGTGCACAGGACCAGGTACAATTTGAATTTTCCTCTAAAAACAAATCACGGCAGTGCCTGAGAAAAAGTTGTTCTTTTCGATAAATCAAGATGTTAGGTAACCTTTTTCTTTGTGCTTCCCGACTCTCTCGATTAGGAAACTTTGCCCCATACAGGATATATACAGAGACATGCACTGCCAATGCAGAAGTGGAGAACATGGACGGAGGCGATCGTCCCGCGCGTGCGAGCCGTCCGCATTCTAATGGAAAGTATGGTTTATACCGGAGCGATCGCTCTGGTCGGCGAAAAGGCTTTTGGTGTGATGTTCGTCGCCGCCACTACCTGAAAGTTTACGTCACTTTTTTCGCCGTCCACGTGGCGTTTTTTAGGCACGGTGCACATCCCTGATGTATACCATAGCTTACAGTCATTGCGTTAATCCTTTGTTCAAGGTAATCAAAGAGGTGTGCTAATGATTTGAAAGCCATCATAGACTGTTTCTCCACTCTTACGCTGGAGAGCGAAACACGGCGGGAGAAGAAGGAGAAGGTTGGATTGTGGGCAAGAATCTTTTGTCAATCTATATAGAAACATCTTTCGCATGCACACCCCAGTATAGGGTAGCAGGAGTTAAGGGTTTCGAAGTTTCACCAATAAGACTTTCGCCAATAGAGATTTCGTCACTAGCGAAATCCTGGTGCTATATTGGCGAAATTTCAGACCATGTGTTGGGGAAAGTCATATTGGCACAAATTGCGCCACTCAAGAGTCAGTGCCTTAGGTAAATGGAAGATGCGATCAAAAAGTAGCTCATTGGATGTGACGTGGTAGGCGGATACTGTGGGTTAGAGGTGTCAGTTCCTGGTTCCGTTCTCTGGAACCCAGAACCCATGGTGGATTCCGCTCCCGGAGACTCGAAACTAAGGAGCCTATGGCGACCTAGTACAGATTCAAAGAATAAGCGCTTCCGTAAGTCTCAATATAATCAGAAACACGCGGGAACGAATCTTCAAGGGGCTTTCGTTTCCAAGGAATGAGAAACCCTGATGCCCCTACTGTAGGTGTCAGTGAAAGGAAGACCCATACATACACGCACCGACATCCACCTAACCATTCACATCTATCTACCTAACTGTCTCAAAAAGTTTGTGCATAGGTGAGAAAGATCTACTGATCCTATCTATGAGCGAAGGAAAAGAATGCTTAACGTCCTTATGAGCTATTACAGGAGATTCTCAACTCCTTAATACGAAAAAGCGTGATTAGCACACTGGAGACGGTACATGGACGGGCTAACTACTTAGGTTTATGTCCTCTGCTCTCGTGTAGCAGAAGTTTAGTAATCATTGATTTAACCAGCAATTAATAGAATAATCATTGATCATAGGACTATGGCCACAGGTATCATGGATAGAAAGAACGAATGATCTTCTTCGACAACCAGCCTACACCTATCTCCATCTGAATGGCGTCGAGATAAAGCACTACGAATCCATTGAAAGGTGTCTAGAGGAAATTGGCACTCTTCAAGCGTTGCACTATTTTATCGTTCTTTGTGATACGTCGAACCTCGGGCATTCAATAGAAATGTTCCGTCGCTGTCCTCGTGTACGACGTATTTATTTGCATTGTTCTCAAGCCAGTGTGAGTCATCATAATACATTAATTACATCATTACCTTCACTAGTGTCCATACTTGAACGCGAAAACACTCTTATACATATAGTTTTTTTCGATTTGGCGCAATATGTGGAGATACTGGCTAAATATTATGAACGCGTGAACGAAAAGCTCTTAGCGCTAGCACGATATAAATATGCTTTTCAGATTCGTAAAAAAATGAAGAAATTTTTAGATGATCGAATCGAAGCATTGACTCAACAACGGATGGAAGAAACTACATTGTGACGATAATTAATTATTTTTATTGTTCTATGTTGTTTTTATTGATTGTTTTTGAGTGGCTATAATTGTATTTGTTTCTGGGAAACAGGTTTGGAGAAGTAAGACATTATGTATTCTATTTTAGATAAAGCACTTCTTGAAGTTTGTGTTGTATTCAAAGACAAAAGTTCAAATTATTCACGAGTAATAAATTAACAACAGCTGCCAGATACAAAATCCGAAATTAACAATCAAAATTTGTATAGGGTAATAGAGCCAAATATGATCACTTCATAAACGAGCAGTTTATATAATTCGAGTATAAAAATAATGAGAGAGATGGGATTTCATGTTGTTGAGAACTAAATATTGCGAAATGTAAAATTTTGGAGTAGAGACACGTAACAAACAACAATCGCTCAGTTGACTATCTTTTAATAGAATTAATTATCGTAGAATATTTTTGTTTTCATCATAAATACATTTATAGATTTGCAACTTCTAGGTAATAGACAGAACTGAAATGGATCCGGTATACAAATGTCCAGCTTGTAATTTGATACTGAATCGTCCCGTTCAACTTAAATGTGGTCATCGTCAATGTCACTTTTGTAGAAGATCTGCAGAAACTGAGTATGATTTCTTTAGAATGTATATCTTCTAAATATCGATCATTTTATTTGATATAGGGCAATAATATGTTCTACTTGTCATGAGGAAACATCTGTTGAAGATGTAAGAAGAACATACTGTATACATATTTGACAATGTACATCTTTTAGATAATAATCGATGAACTTCTTATTCAAGAAATAAACGAGTTGCCAATAATTTGTCCACTTTGTACTTGGTCAGGTTCATACAGAAATTATAAAGTAAGATTATCTTCGAATTTATCATCCGATGTTGAGCATTCAAAACTATACAGTTTTATCAGGCTGCTAGTTAAACCATTTTTGATTTACTTGAACTCCTCAGATTCAGATTGATACTAGATTGAAAACACTCTAAAAAATTACGATTCATGAGATCGACACTGATATAATCAGTGAATCGTTGATTTAAACTTTACAAAATAAAAGGAAGGATAGTAAAGATCGCAATGCGAAAAACAAATTTAGTAGATGTCAGAGTGCAGTAGAATATAGTATGACCGTAGTATTGAATTTGATTTATGTGATGTGTTTAGGAACATATTGAAACCACTCATCCGTGGAAATGCAACAAATGTTCTGCAACCTTTACCATAGTAGAAAGATTAATACAACACCAACAGCTAGAATGTCCAGCAACTTTTGTCAAGTGTCCATTATATAGCTATGGATGTGAACAATTGGTATGTTGACTAAACTTAAAATACTTGATTTTTTTTGACAGTTTTCTGCAGTTTCCTCTAAACGAAACAAGAGCTCATACTATCAGTGATGTCCATATTGATGCTTTGAGATATGCATGGAACTGCTGTATGTGTACTATTGAAACTGCTCGAGAAGATATGAAAAACAATTATCATCACAGTGAAGCGTCAATTTCTTCAATAAATAATGAGGAACTAGAGAAACTTTATTCAAATATTCAAATATTAACTGAACTCTTATGTGATCTAAATTCATCAAAGTCCACAAGTCATTCATCTCATGATACCGACCCATATGCATCAATTAATAATGGTAAAGATCTTGTAAAAAACATATCTTTTTTGTCATATTTAGAGAGTTTTCTTTCAATCTAAAAACGTAGAAAATCGTTTTGTTTGCCAGTCAGACTAATAGTGAAAAATATTGTATGTGAGGATACTTCAAACTTGTTCTTGAATATCTAAATTTAGTTTCAGTTGTATATTCCATTATTTCATGTTAACAAATTTAATTATTCGATCATATTTGATCGCTAAATTTATTTTTTCTTGGTTCTCTATGGAAAAATTAAACTATCTGCATCACAACTGATCACGACAAAGACTAACAATTCGTTCGACTGTTTTGAAATCCATTCAAGAAGCCCAATAAGAAAAATCTTATAAAGAGTAAGTCGAGCTTGATTCTTAATAGAACTCCTAAAATATTAGACTTTGAATTTTTCCTTCAGTTACAAGTATCTCATTGATCAAAATCAAATGAAAACATAAGATACTTGTCACATCTTTTATTGTTTCTTTGTATAGATATTTGTATTAATGATTATTTCACGCAACATGAAAATCTTACTATGAACTTTAATCCAAATGATTCCGACAATCTAACATCACTCTCGCAACACTCTGCTTACAACAACCATAGGATGGATGAGCTCAAAGATGACATTCAACGGCTTTCTGAAAATCAACCGACCAATGATTTAAATGGCAATGTACAAAGCCAAGAGACACCATCAACTAACGAAAGATGTCAACAAAATCGTGAAGTAAATATCATGTAATATTGAGAAACACAAACTAATGTCTTATTTACGACTACAAATCTAAGAATTCTAATAAATGTTTTTTTTTTCTAATAAAGAGTCAAGTGGGTATAACGCAAGAACAATGTCAAATAATGAAACAAGAAATCGATTGGTTAAAGACAAACTATTATCTACTTCAAACTCAATTGATGGAACAACCTGCTGCAACTGATGGTCTTCTCATATGGTCGATTCCAGACGCTCGCAAAAAAATCGATGATACATTATGTCTAAAAGAGCTCGTTCTTGATTCACGAATGATCGTTACAGCAATGAACGGACATCGAGTACAGGCTTATCTCTATCTCAATGGTAAGACTAGTACTAGATACAGTTCAAGTCACTGTATTTCAATTTATGTCCGATTGCTCAATCGAAGTTCTCAAAACCTAAAGGGCACCATCACG